TGAGAGTGAGTGAGAGTGAGAGAGTGAGTGAATGAAAGAGTGAGTGAGAGAGTGAGTCAGTGAATGAGAGTGAGTGAATGAGTCAGTGAGTCAGTGAGTGAGAGAATGAGTGAGTAAGAGTGAGTCAGTGAATGAGAGTGAGTGAGAGAGAGTGAGTTAGTGAGAGAGTGAGTCAGTGAATGAGAGTGAGTGACAGAGTGAGTGAGTGCGTGAGAGTGAGCGAATGAGAATGAGAGAGAGTGAGTCAGTGAATGAGAGTGAGTGAGTAAGTGAGAGAGTGAGTCAGTGAGTGAGCGAAATTTTGTTTTTGCTCATGAAAAATGCCGCAGAAATTATTGTGATGTTAGCAGGACACTCCCTGGCGGGTGGGGAGGTGTCCTAGGTGCTGGCAGGCAACTGAAGCCTGGCCAGTGAGCAATGTCCTGAAGGTGAGCCGCCCTCAGGTCATCACGGCAGCAGGAACCTGAGAGCTGGCTCCGGCACCCAGCCCTGAGGAGTGGCAGGAATTGGCTAGGCTGTGGTCAAAAAGAACCCTGGGACCCACATCAGTTGATTGGTACCTGTACAGTCCCTTATACTTCCTCAGTGCCCCCTCTTGGGCAGGAACAAGTCAGGGCACTTGAGTGGGGGTCAGGTCTTCAGGTGAGTGGCCCCATGACAGCTGCAGTTTAAGGCCAAGGGCAGAGACCAGGCCTATCTTTGGTCTTGCAGTCAATTCTGGATTGTTCATTTTCATGAGGACCCCAGTGTGGAGGGAGTCAGAATCACCAGAGAGAGCCAGGGGCTTCTTGTGTGAGGGGCTGGCAGGGGACCCAGTGGGCAACATGCATTCTTCCTACAGCACTTGGGCTAGCCCACCCATAAACAGGGAGTCCCCTGCCCTCAGCAAAGCCGCCAAGGTTATTTGGAGGTCATTGAGCAGATGAGCTAGGGCCAACCCCATATTTGTAGAATATGGGGAGGGCAGAAAAGGGAGAAAACCCCAGAGATGGGGAGGGGGTCCGCACTTGAACCACCCTGGCTCTCTGGAAGACTAGCTGGCCCTCCCCTTTGGTTAGCAGTGGGGCAAAGTCTCCTGAGGCGACAGGAGGGGTGGGTGGGAGGTGGTGGTGGCAGGTGACCTCAGTAGGGGCCTGGCAGGATGCTTATAGTACAGATGAGAGGGTGAGGTGTTGTGATCATTCTCCATTTTTATGTAGCACCAATTTTTTCCATAGTGAACTGACTTTGGAACCTAACCATGTTGATCAGCGAGGAGTGGATGCACACCCATTCCTACTGATCAACATGGTTAGGTTCCAAAGACTAGGCCATTATTCCAAAGTGGATGTTACATAATAATGAAGGATGACCACATCAGATCACAGAATGAAAGATGATTATACCGTTATGTAACGGCCAAACCACTGCCAAGCACAGCCCGGTCAATTTGACAGATAGCATTCACCATCATGGACCGTGCCACTCTAACCTGCACCTCAGCCTCTGTTACTACCAGACTGCTATCATTCATGTGCAAAATAGTCAGTAGATTTTTTGGATTAGTGCCGCAAAAGGGAGACGTCTGCTAACGATGTAGTCCCTGCGTGAAGAATTGGGTGTATTGTACCGACTATTCTTTCAGATGTTTGACATTGCTTTCCAAGGAGCGGATAAAAGGGACATTTGTCTAAATAAGGAGAGAAGCTTTGAGTCTATATCTGGGACAGGCCAGAAAGAATGAATATTAACACTATATGATCCAGACGAGTTATTTTACGCGAGAGCTGGCATTAAAAAAAATCACATTTAGTCAAAACGCCCTTTAACATCCCTTGAATTGCCCACAGATATAGGTCACTGGTATAGTCTGCCCATCTACCTTTCCATAGGCTAGCCTTTCCTCAGGACTCCTACCCCAGGCTCCCTTGCTCAGCGTGCTCCTGCTTAAGTCCAGCGTTGGGCCCTGTTCCTGCCAAGGGATCGTTGCCCCCGCTGAGCCAGAGCCAAGACGAGGCCCCGTGGCTTTGCAGATGAGTCCTTGAATGACTGCTTTTATCGTTGAATTTGGGGTCAGCACAGTGTCCTTCATTAAAGAACACTTCCGTGGAGGATGATCCACTTTCCAAAATTTTCCCCGAGCCATTCATGCTTTGCTTATTGTGTGTGTGTTTCTCTCTTTTCTCTTCCAGATCGTTTACAAAGCCAAAGGAGAGGAAATGCTCCACAAATACAGCCTGCCAGCAGACCTGCCCCAGTTCATCCAAGCTAAAGTCAACGCCTACAACATCAGTGAGGTGCGTGTGGGGACACTGCCACCGGTGTGTGTGTGTGTGTGTGTGTGTGTGTGTGTGTGTGTGTGTGTGTGTGTGTAGCCTTTCCTAAGGTGACCTTGGACTTATTTAAAGGACGCATTTTCTTTCAGAATATGTACAAAGCGGACTTGAAAGACTTGAGCAAGAAGGGCTATGACCTGAGGACCGATGCGATTCCCATCAAAGCTGCCAAAGCGGCCAGGCAGGCAGCGAGTGACGTAAGTCTAGATGGTAGTCAGACCGAACGAAGCAAGTAGGAAAAGGGAATGGCCTAGAATTGTGCCCCAGCGGGGTACCAAACAGTTACCACATCCGCGGTGTGCCACCACTGAAGAAAACCTGGTTGGCAATTAGAGTCTTGGAACAGACCCGCATTTTCTTGGGGCAAAGATGTGGCAGGTGTTCTTAGTGACCCTTTCCAATCACGTGCCCGAAGTTCAGATCCTCATCTCAGCTTCTGCGCAGACCCACACCATCTCTCTCGCGGGAATAACGAAGCTACTTACTATTTAGGTCAAGAGCGTCTCCTGGTGGTAAAATGTTTGTCTCCAAACATTCTTGCTTTATGACTTCCTTCTTTCCTTAGTTTTCTTGCTTGTTACCATTCCTCTAAAGGAGTCCGGCTTCACAGCCCCCATTGTGAGTAGGTTCCATTAAAGTTATGGGTTTTATTCCTCAACCGGTTTTACTTCCGCCCCTCTGTAAACGGGAGTTATTTTCGTCTGTGAGATCTCAATACGATTGACCCAAGTCTCCAGCTGTTCCTGTCTGCAAATACCCATGAGTTGGCCGTGACTTGACGGCAGGGTTTGGTTTGGGTTTGTGTCCACGCTGGCTCCTTGTTTGTACAAGCGGCCTCCTTGGCTCCCCCGCCATCTCCCCTCTGGATCTACTGCTCTTTCATTATTCAGAGAAAAAACGAAGGCCATTCTTTTTTATTTCTCCCCAAGTCCCAACCATAACTTTATGGATTGTTTGAAATAAGGATGAGATTGATATTGTACCATTGTGAGTAGGCTAAGATTGAGTGATAAGGCCCTTGTCCCTAAAGTCCTGCCACCCAGAAGTTCTCCCTGACTCCCCACTTCTCCGCCGGTGCCACCCTCTGGCCAGGTGGCATAATTCCCTCTCCTTCCAGCACACAGCCCTTCCCTCACATCTCTGTTCCTCAGTTTTCTAGGTCCTTCCTAGGTGTCCCCAAAGAAGTTTAATTTCTCTCACTTCATTATTCAGCAACAATATGACTCTGGGTCTTCCGTTTGAATATCTAAGACTAAGTAAAATGCCTTACTAATCAAGTAGCTAGCTACTTGGGAATCTACGTTAGCAGTACAATATAAGTGTAGGGATATCTGAAATACCTATCTTTTCATCTGCCTCTATAAGGGTCTAATTGAAAAGGAACCAGGTAGCATGATTGCCACTGATATGAATTATGGGGATGCTGCCACCCCAACCTCTCTTGGATGAGGGTGTCATCAGTAGCTACAGACAGTGAGTCTGTAGCTGTACAAACAGTCACATGAGTTCTAAATAAGCTTTATTTTAAACCCATCTTTCCAAATACATACAATTGAGTATCCCAGTGTTATTTAAGTAGAGTGATTTCTGGGGTGTTCAAGTGCTTCAAATCATGGCCCCATTGTTTAGTAAAATCCTCATAACTGCGTTCTAAAATATGCCCACCTTTGTTCGCAATAGTTTCAATACAAAAAGGATTACGAAAAAGCCAAAGGGAAAATGGTTGGCTTCCAAAGTCTGCAAGATGATCCCAAATTGGTTCATTACGTGAAAGTGGGCAAGCTACAGTCAGACCGGGAGTATAAGAAAGACTACGAGAAGACAAAGACCAAATACAACACACCCCATGACATGTTCAATGTTGTGGCAGCTAAGAAAGCTCAGGATATTGTCAGCAACATCAACTATAAGCATCCTCTCCATCATTACACCTACCTGCCTGACGCCATGGACCTGGAGTTGTCTAAGAACATGATGCAAATTCAGAGCAATGTAAGTGACATTGCATGGCAAGAGAAACCTCCTAAATTCAGGGCTTGCTGGGAGAGAAGCCACTGCCCGGACACTCACCCCTCTTTTCTCTCTCTGCTGTAGAATGTCTACAAGGAGGACTATAACTCCTGGATGAAAGGCATTGGCTGGATCCCAATTGGTAGTCTTGATGTAGAAAAGGTGAAAAAGGCGGGGGATGCCCTGAATGAAAAGAAGTACAGGCAGCATCCAGACACCCTCAAATTCACCAGCATCGTCGACTCTCCAGTTATGGTCCAGGCCAAACAGAACACGCAGCAAGTTAGCGACGTGAGTACAGCGAACGACAGGGTCAGGGATGTATGGATGGGTGGATCGGTGGATGGGTGGATGGATGGATGGGTGGGTGGGTGGGTGGGTGGATGGATGGATGGATGGATGGATGGACGGACGGACGGATGGGTGGATGGGTGGATGGGTGGATGGGTGGATGGATGGGTGGGTGGGTGGATGGATAACTGTCAACTCAGGATTTTTATCCTGATAATGAATGAATTTATCTGATGTGATGACTTTTGATATTCATGTTTGAGTCTGGGATTTACATTTGAGTTTATTTTCCGTTGCTCTGTGGCACTCAAAGATTTCTATTTATTATTTTCTTAATGACTTTTCTTTTTTTCTATATTGTGATACATGAAGCTTGGGTGTTTCTAAAGAAAATAAGATGCCTAGGTTTTGTGTGTGTGTGTGTTTTTAAGTTGGGAAAAATGCCTTTGATGGTTGATTTTTAACAATTGAAAGAGTGGGGGCTGGTACTAAAAATAACCCCTTTAAAGTTTGCCTTTACATATGTAATTAATGGATTGTCTTTTTTGCACAACCTGTCATACATTTTATCTTTGTGGTTGCACTTTGCAGATCTTGTATAAAGCTAAAGGGGAAGATGTGAAGCACAAATACACAATGAGTCCTGATCTTCCTCAATTTCTCCAGGCCAAGTGCAATGCCTACAATATCAGTGATGTAAGTGGGATCTTTGTCGGGGTATTGTAGTGGCTTCAAGTTGGGCTGCTATTTGAAAGGTCAGCAGTTCAAAACCACCAGTCACTCTTCAGTAGTAAAGCGAGACTTTCTATTCCTGTAAAGAGGACACCGTCTCAGAAGCTCACAGGGGCAGGTCTCCCCGCTATGGGGGGTGTTGCCATCCATCGGTGGGGTGGTGAGTGAGAAAGTAGAATGGGACCTTGCCAATAGATTTTCCTCAGCCTTATCCCATGATGTTGGCTCTTTGCCTCTTGAGTTGGCTTTTCCAGTGTAGGACAGCTCTCATGTATATAACATTCTTTATACTGCACACAGAATACATTCCCCTAAACCAGCTACACAGATTTTTTTAGTTAAGCGATTCAGGAAGAAAAAGAAAAAATCCTTTTTCTTACCACAACCTCCAATTAAAAAAAAAATAGACAAAATCTGGTTTCTCACATTTTTATCACAGGACTCTTTCGTTTTTCAGTGTCCCTATTTAGTGCGTGGAATCCCTGGGTGATGCAGAGAGTGAATACTCAGCTGCTAATCCAAAGCTGGAGATTCGAGTCTCCCAGTCCCCCCAAATCAGCCACTAAAAACCCTGTGCAGCACAGGGTTGTACCTGGGGTCTCCCAAAGTGGGGGTTAACGGGGCAGCAACTGGCTACTGGGTAGTCAATATGTGTACTTCCATCAGACGTGTGTCATGTTTTCCTAACGTGGTTTCCTGAACCAGCGTGTGCTGCTCCCGGAGCTTTCAGCTTATGTCTGGAAAAGAACAAAACTGCCAGAAGTTACAGAACCTCTTCTACTGATCCATAGACAGCATGCTAACGCCCTTCCTGCCTTTCCATCTCAGGTGTGTTACAAACGGGACTGGCACGATTTAATAGCCAAGGGCAACAATGTGCTGGGGGACGCCATTCCCATCGCTGCGGCCAAGCTGTCAAGGAACATTGCCAGTGATGTGAGTAACCACTTGGCGGGGGGTGGGGTGGGGGTGGGGGTGGGGGTTTAGAGTCTGGGCAATTGCCTGGCTCACAAGTCATCGCACGTGTGCTTGTTCAGATGATGCCTCACTGGAGACAATAGGTTGAATTAATGCCATTTAAGTTCTCCAGAAATTTTTGTTTGGAAAACCTGTCACTTTTTCAATGTTGTTGTGCTCTTTCCAATTGACCCTCCCTGGTAGAGCTGTCATAAATCTGACAGCAGCTTTCTTGCCTGCTTCAGAACCCAAATTATCTCCCCTGACATGTTCCCCTGACAGCTCACATGCGTTTTCAGTGGGGAAACCTGACTGACACAAGCATGTTACAGTCAGATGAATGCCTGCCTTATAATTATAGTAGGAAGATTGAAACATACAGTTTTATAAAATGTAATCTTTTTTACAAGCCAAATGAGGAGAAAGCCCACTTTTCTAGGCTGTAGCATCACTTATTGCTAATGGATGCCCATTTTATTTGTAATAGAAAAAAATACATTTATAATGAATCCCATCTTTGGAAAAGAACATTTCCAAAAAGCAGGCGCTCCATGTTCACATACTATTTGTCGCTCTGGTGACGACAGTGGCTTGAGGCAAGTCTACACAAAAGAAACTAACCCGTGTACAGGCCACATGGTGATGGGATAGTAAGAGCTTGTAGGGACTGAAAAATGTCTTTCCCTATGGGTTGCACACAGTGCACCCCTCTAGAAAATACACTCCTAGTTTTAAGGAGACAGTCAAAGTCTAAAGTCTTGACTTTATCAAGATTTTAGCACTAGCAGGATGATTTGTCTAGCCTGCCTGGGAATTGCTTGATAATCCCTTTCCTTTGCTAAGCCCTTATTTGTAAATGAGTGCTTACCCAGCAGGCACAGAGTATCTGCAAGGTTTAGGTGGATTTGCATTCTCTTGTATGAAAATTGAGGTTTCGACCTATCACAATATAGCTCTACCTCCAGGCCTGTTGCTAGTTCTGGCAGTGAGAGCCCTTAGCAACCAACAGAGCTCTTGTCCCTGGAAGTTTTTACTGATGGAAGAAGCCCACAGCAGCTCCTGCTTTTACTGGTGCCCATCAATTCCCTTACAGCTCTTTCACTAGCAGGTCTGCAAAGTAGCTGCTGAGAAATGGAGTGGCTGAAGGTCCCCAGACGTAGGGGTTTTTGTTTAACCACACGTTCGATCAGCTTAAGACAACCAACAGCCATGTGTTCTGCCCCTCCCCCAAGAAAGATCTTAGTCTAACGGGTTTCCGAGTAGAGTTCTCTTCTGCACGGTCTGTCTTTATACCTCTAGGCTCCTGGGAGCACCATGGAAGAGCCCCTCAACAATCTCCAATGCTGAGTGAAATAACATGAGGCCCCCCCACAATTAACATCCTGGAGAAGTCAAGATGCTGGTTTTCAATTTGCAACATGTCATGAGCGCTCAGTTGGATTTTTAAAACTCTATGTGCAAATCATCTGTAGGATTCCTAGCAAAGAAAAGACACTGGTTCTGAATGTATCACGACAGCCCCTTGAGACACCACCCCCCCCCCCCCCCCCCCCGCCCGCAGTGTTTGAAATAAATTTGAAATAAATGCTTTCACGCTGAACACTCTGGGGGGTGGGGGTGGGGGGTTGTGTGTAGTTCGTGTCATCTTCCGGAAAGTCACAAGGTTCCCAGTGGCTTTGTGCCTCGCTGTAATGGTGGCACTGTGTTAGAAATACTGAGGGCTTTTCCGTCTCTGTCCCTGCAGTATAAATACAAGGAAGCTTACGAAAAGTCCAGGGGAAAGCATGTGGGTTTCAGGAGCCTCCAAGATGATCCCAAGCTGGTCCACTACATGAATGTGGCCAAGTTGCAATCCGATCGTGAATACAAGAAGAACTATGAGAACACCAAAACCAGCTATCATACCCCTGGGGACATGGTCAGCATAACAGCTGCCAAGATGGCCCAGGATGTTGCCACCAACATCAACTACAAACAGCCGCTACATCATTACACCTACCTACCTGATGCCCTGAGTCTGGAGCACACCAGGAATGTGAATCAGATTCAGAGTGACGTAAGTATGCGTGCGTAGCATACCGGACCCAGAGATGAGAAGTGCACCTAATGGATGATAATTCTTCCTGCCCCTTTTGATCGACTTCAAAATGTTAAACTAAGCCCAATCACATTACCGGTCATTGTTGAAAGATTCACAATGGCATTGTAGACACACTAAGCTTCTGCTGGCTTTCTGTGCTTAGGTCATAATGACCATGGCATTGTCTTCTGGATCAAAGACAAAACTGCCAGTGCGAGGCACCTTGTTTCTCACCAGGAAGAAACAGGTGCTTCTGGTGGGCCAGCTTCAATGGTAACAGATGTGTGATACAGAATAGGAGCAGTCCTTATTCTTTCTGAGTTCAGGAAAGTTTTCATCAGTTATTTTAAAATCTCAAGGTCACACTCTCATTCATGTAAATCTATGGAATGAATCATCTAAAATAAACCAGCAAGACGTGGCAATGGCAGCATGATTCATGGAGAGCTGCACAGGAAGGGTGTTTAGCATTCAGAGCATCTCCTTCCGCAGGAGGCAGATTGCTGGAGGAAGCGTCCTCTGTAAAGGAAAGAATGGGGTTCGTTTCCTGTGGTTCCATGAGTGTCTCTCTGCCTCCGCTGAGATCAGGACTGGCCTAGGTGGACAGCAGGGCTGGCAGAGAGGCTCTAAAGGAAACAAACTTTCAGTCTTCAGTGAAATGGAAAGGAAGACCCAATTTATTGCCACAAGCAGTACAGTTTTTTGTTTTGTTTTGTTTTCAAACAGTACGCATGAAAACCTATGACCTAGATTCCCTGCGGTGTTGTGTAAGGCACGCTACCTGCAGAGTTGCTCTATCTTATTACCAAATTCCAGGTCATAAGCTCTGGGACAGACAGAGCCCAACACAGACAAGTGCATGCAGAGAAGGGTTGTTCTTCCACTCTCCGTGATCGGAGTGCACCTTGCAGACACATTACCTCTAAGAGATCTCTTCACCTGTAACCACTCTTTTGCAGAATGTGTACAAAGATGAATACAACAACTTCCTCAAGGGCATCGGATGGATCCCTATTGGCTCCCTGGAGGTTGAGAAAGCCAAAAAAGCAGGCGAAGCCTTAAATGAGAGAAAATATCGACAGCATCCAGACACCATCAAGTTCACGAGTGTGCCTGACTCTATGGGCATGGTTTTGGCTCAGCAGAACACGAAGCAGCTGAGTGATGTAAGCAATGTTCCTTGCCCTTGAGTGACCCTGGCGAACAACCCACTCACCTGTCTTTCTTAATTCCATACGTGAAGGTGCATCTAATTTAGCAAACTGCTTTCAGAAGTGTGAGAGAAAGGACTTACTTTTTAAGCAGCTGGGAGCTTGCTTAGGAAGAAAATAGGGAAGTGGGAGGGGGTTTTCAAATTTGCTGTCAGAAGACTAGTCTGTACGATTCATAGGAAACCCCCTACCCATTAGTGCTACAAAATGAGAACACTACTGTTCTTCTTTGTGATTGTCTGAATGGTCAAAGAAAACCTATTCCTCTGAGCTTCCTTAATCCCATCTGGCTGCCCCGCGAAGTCACTGTGTCCTAATCCCTTGTGCATACTAGCTTCATGTTCTGAGACACTCTGAGCGAGGACGCCTGGGAGGAGAAAAGCACTTGGCTTTCAGAGTCATCTGGGGTCACCTTTCTAAGTCCAGGTCTGTCTGGGGCTCTTATTCTTCCAACCAGGAGCTAATTATTGTGCTCAGAGCTTTGAATCATTGTGTCATTTCATCTCTTTGTCCTCAAGTTCATTCTGACTCATGATCATCCTTTAGGGCCGAGGAGAGCTGCCCCTTAGGGTTTCCAACACAGTGGATCTTAAGGAAGCAGACAGCCGCATCTTTTTTCCCTGCAATGGCTGGAGACTACGCAATACTGACCTTTTGTGTAGTAACTTTTGTACTTAACCCACTTATGTTGAACCGCTTAACCACAACACGACTTTGTGGCAATTGCACAGGTGTCTGGAAACCCCTTCAGCAGGGGCAGAGATAAATGCAAACAAGGTCGGGAAGACTTTTTGTGGTTTTGCTCCTCAGATCTTAGAACGCAGCCTGGCTTAAATTTGAAAATTATCTGTAGATTTGTGGTGTCATTTCTCACTGCGTTCTTCCAGTTAGCTAAAGAAACTGGATTCTGTCGTCATCCCTCCCAAACACGCCGAACATTTCCCTGATTAAATCAAGCCAGAAAGTAGGCAGTCACACCGTCACCATTGATGAGGCCTGTGTGAATCCCCACAGCTGATAAGTCTGCCGAGTCGGGCTCCTGAACAGCTCTCAGCTCACCTGGCTGCACACCTCTGCCTTTCAGCTGCCACCAACTCTCTCCTGGGGACCACTGTTGTGTGGACCCGAGTCTCACACAACTAGAGAGACCTGTCACTCTCACTTGAAAACCTCTTAATGACTTCTTCTTGAACTTAAAGTCTAAACTTGTTAACTTGGCTCATAAGACCCCCTTGGCTCATAAGGTCCTGTTTCCCCCTCCCGTGGCATCCACCAGGCCTCCCTCCACAAGCTGCCGTCACAGGACTGGGAAATTGTGTCCTTAAGACCACCAAGCCCTTTCTAGACTCTGGGTCCATCATCCCCCTGGACTGTTCTTTGTCTGCCTCGTTCTCCCACACTTCCCCAAGTTTGTGCTTCCTCAGGAAGCCTTTGCTGACCACCCTGACCACCAACTGTTATGCCAATTACAGCGCATCACAGATTTGAACTATGCTTTATAATTCACCAGCTGATTCTCTGTCTCCCTACTGGAGCTTTAGTGCAATTATCCACGAAGGCAGGGATAAGGGCTGCCCTTTCCGTCACTTTATATGCTAGACAGTGTGGTGTGACACTGTAGTGTGACAGCACAGCACTATCCAAAAAACTTATTGGAATGAATACATGCATATATCTCTCAGAGGCCTTCCCCTGACTGATGGTTTAGGTACCTGGAACCTGGAACCTGCAAAAGAACAAAAGAGAGTCTTCATTTGCAAGTGTGTGAGCTCGATGAAGCGCATTATGTCAGCTAAAGCTGTTTGCACGCCACCTCCTTTCTTTTCAGTTGAACTACAAGGTGGAGGGGGAGAAACTGAAGCACAAGTACACCATGGACCCTGAATTGCCACAGTTCATTCAAGCCAAGGTCAATGCTCTCAACATGAGTGAGGTGAGTCTTTGGCCCCCGTGCCTGTCTCATTTTGTTTGTGACAGCCACTGCTTTCCAGTTCTAGGAAGTTCTCCCAATGAGAAGGTGAGGGAATGCTATCTGAGGGGGACTTCCTTTGAGACTCTGGATTGAATCCTTAATATACACCATGAGACTAGAGGGCTCTATAAAATGTTAATAGTTACCATCACTAGTGGCTGTGGAGCTTCAGGGACACGCCACAAGTGCGGAGTAGAACTGCTTCATCAGGTTCTCAGTGGATTCCCAGGCTCATCTCCAAGGTAGCCGGGTGGTTTCAAGCCTCCAAGCTGCCTGCCAGTAGTCCAGTGCTAACAGCTGTACCATCGGTTTTTCCAGGCAATAGACTGACTCATTAGGAAGTTGTGAAATCAATTCAGTAGCTTGACCAATACTATCTCTCTTTAAATGGAACAAAATGGGAGAGGTAAGATTGGAAAATGTAAGTTTTGCTTTCTTAAGCATTTGTTTCTGTTGTTTATTAAAACCTCTCAAAGAGGTGAGTTCAATTGTCTCCACAAACCCATTTCTGTCAACTAGGCCTTCTCTGGGGTATTCTAGATTTTTAATTGGTGATGATACTTTTTTTAATTTGATGAATTTTTATTTTACATTCTCCCCAAAATTTTAGGTTCTCTTTGGACTCCAAGTAAACTTTAGTATTCACTTGAATGTTTTTGGATTATTAATTTTTTCCTGCTTTTATAAGTAACATATCAAAGCAAAATATTGGGATTTATTAAAGCTGTATGGTATCACATACGAATTTTTAAATATTAGTCTATATTTTTCTGAAGTTTTCAAATGCTTCATAACAAGTAATACAGAAAAGTGCACGCATATTATCGAAAATTGGGGAAACAAAATCATGAAGAAAAAAAATTATGAAGAGAAAACCTGTTACCCTGCATTTCTGTCTTTGTAATGTAAGCATACCTTTTAAAAGAGGTTGGAACTATGGTGTGCATACAGAGCTGTTTGCTGGTGTTTTTTAAAGAATCCGATAGATAAATAACGAATTGTCCTAATTCCATGAGTGTTCTTAATGGAAAGGAATTGATTGTGTCAGGTTTTATAAGAACCATTTCAGTCATTTGTTTCAGTCTCTTAATTATGTCAAATGATTAACTGATCCTTCCTGTTTTAAAGGCTCATTATAAAGCAGACTGGAAGAAAACCATTGCCAAGGGCTATGATTTGAGAACAGATGCAATTCCAATCGTTGCTGCAAAAAGTTCACGGAATATTGCTAGTGATGTAAGTCGAATTCAAAAGCAGTCAGCTCTACTATATATTTTTAAAGTCTCTTAATTGTGTGTAGGGATATTTGAGCTAAATTAGAAAGCAAAAACAATAAATTATAACATAAAAATATTTCTGAATACCCCAAGTGACATTTGTTTTTTAAAAAATAGTCCCTCACATAAAATATCTTTAAAGAATGAATATAGTTACTACCAAGGATAAAAAATTAACTATCAAATATTTGAATTCTCATTAAAAACTGTCATTTTTTCCAAATGAAAGGTGGAAGTAGAGTGGGTAATTTTTCATTTTCTTTCTCCTTTTTAAAAAAAAAAGATGATTAAATTATCTAGCACCTGACACCTGACCCTTTGTGATATCTTTGCTAATAACTTGACTACTGTTCTTTATTTATATTATTTATATTTTGTCAGGAAAAAGAGGCTTATTTACTTGGTATACCAAAATAACACTGAATCAAAATAGTATCCATATATTTTAAAAGAATATAATTTTTAAATTTTGTAATTTCCACAAACAGAACCATCTGTTGAAAACTAGGAAGAATTATGGATTCTATCAGATATCGCTTGTACTTAACATAAATCATTTAGCTTCATGGAAATAATTATAGGAAACTGATTGTGGTAGCAATTGTACAATTCTACTTAACGTGGTTAAACTATGGAATGATATGATATATGTATAAAATCCCAACAAAATAAAACCAGCTACAGTGTCAGAAACTCACCGGGTAGTTAGATCCTGTCCGATAGAGTCACTCTGAGTCAGCATTGCCTTGAGGGCACGGAGTTTGGTGTTTGTTTTGGGAGCGTGAGTGGGGATGAGGTGGAAGGAAAAGAATACTTTCTGTAAGTATTCCTTTGTAATAAAATGTTGATACTCAATAAACATTTTAATTTAAAAAAAGAAATAACTATAAATTAGGATAAATGGTAGATATATTATTTCATAGTCTTAATATGAATAAATCCAGACTCATAATTTCTGTGCTCTACCTTATCAAACGTCTGTCTGTCCTTTTCAATTAGTGCAAATATAAGGAAGCTTATGAGAAAGCCAAAGGCAAACAAATTGGATTCCTCAGTCTGCAGGATGACCCTAAATTGGTTCACTATATGAATGTGGCCAAAATCCAGTCAGACCGTGAGTACAAAAAAGGCTACGAAGCCAGCAAGACCAGTTATCACATCCCCATGGATATGTTCAGCGTGACAGCTGCCAAGAAGTCTCAGGAAGTTGCGACCGGCATCAACTACAAACAGCCCTTCCACAACTACACACTGCTGCCCGACGCCTTGAATGTGGAACACTCCCGGAATGCCATGCAGATTCAGAGCGATGTACGTAATGGTCCGCAGAGCTGCCAGCACAGGGCTAGGTACCCATGGCCAGGCAGCAGGAAGGTGGCCCAAGAACTAGGAATTGCACTTGTTCCATCCTGAAGCCAGCTGAACTCTCTGCCATTAGGAGTCTCTTCCCTGAAGTGAAGTTTCAGGATTGTATTCATTAGAACAAGATGAGGTGCTCTTGTATTATTATATATTATTTTTAACATCTCAAAAACATTGGCTGTTTGTCCAACACATCATATATTCTTTGAAAAAATCAAGAGGTTCGGATGGGTACATCTCTTTCAGTGCAAAATGCTTTGCCCTACGGTTAAGGCAAATGGGATCTATTCTAACTTATTTTTTCCAAAAAAAAAAAAAAGATTAAAAAAAATTGGTGGTGGGGAGGTCAGGATTTCGTGTTCAAAACTACCATGCATGCAATTCCTTTTATTATTAATTTTCATCTAAATGACAGAAGTAAAGAGTGGGTAATTTATCATTTTCTCTGTCTTTTTGATGACCTGAGACCTGACCCTTTCTGAAACGAGAACCTCTCTCTTTTTCGTTGTAAAGAACCTCTACAAATCTGACTTCACCAGCTGGATGAAAGGAATTGGCTGGGTCCCCCTAGAGTCGCTGGAGGTGGAGAAGGCCAGGAAAGCAGGGGAGATTCTCAGTGAGAGGAAGTATCGGCAGCACCCGGAGAAGCTGAAGTTCACCTACTCCATGGACACCATGGAACAAGTGCTCAACAAGAGCAACAAACTGAACATGAATAAGGTAAGACCACTCACGGAACGCACACATGCACTTGAGCCTGGCAATGACCCTGAAGTTCTCTCCTGCCTTCGTACTTTTCTGGTGGTGCGATTGCTGAAGAAGGGGGAGTTGGAGACATTTCACCGTGGCTTAGGCGTTTTCTCCTACTCTGATGTTCAGACTGTCTTTCGCCACGAGGAGGAGGATACACGCAAACCACAGGACCCCACACGGTTGTGAGGTCAAGACAACATGGTTTTTTTGTTCAAGATGAAAAGGATCTTTGTGGTTGGTAGTGGTGGTTATTCCATTTCCTCAGTCCATCTTCTTGCTAGTTCAGCCCGCTTCTAATATATTTTTTAATCATTTTCTTGGGGGCTCATAAAACTCTTATCACAATCCACACAAACATCAGTTGTGTAAAGCACACTTGTACATTCGTTGCCCTCATCATTCTCAAAACATTTCCTCTCCACTTAAGCCCCTGGCATCAGCTCCTCATTTTTCCCCCTCCCTACCTGCCCCCCTCCCTACCTGCCCCCCTCCCTCATGAACCCTTGATAATTT